GTGCTCTTCGTGCTGCTGCGGACGCCGCGGCGCCGCACGGTCACGCACCTGTTCATCCTCAACCTGGCCCTGGCCGACGAGCTCTTCACGCTGGTGCTGCCCATCAACATCGCCGACTTCCTGCTGCGCCGCTGGCCCTTCGGCGAGCTCATGTGCAAGGTCATCGTGGCCATCGACCAGTACAACATCTTCTCCAGCCTCTACTTCCTCACGGTCATGAGCGCCGACCGCTACCTGGTGGTGCTGGCCACGGCCGAGTCGCGCCGCGTGGCGCACCGCTCGTACGGCTCGGCGCGCGCCGTGAGCCTGGCCGTGTGGGCCGTGGTCACGCTCATCGTGCTGCCCTTCGCCGTGTTCGCGCGGCTGGACGACGAGCAGGGCCGCCCGCAGTGCGTGCTCGTCTTCCCGCAGCCCGAGGCTTGGTGGTGGCGTGCCAGCCGTCTCTACACCCTGGTGCTGGGCTTCGCCCTCCCGGTGACGGCCATCTGCGCCCTGTACACCTGCCTGTTGTGCCGGCTGCGCGCCATGAGGCTGGACAGCCACGCCAAGGCCCTGGACCGCGCGAAGAGGCGGGTGACAGTGCTGGTGGTGGCCATCCTGAGCGTGTGCCTCCTCTGCTGGACCCCGTACCACCTGAGCACTGTGGTGGTGCTCACCACCGACCTCCCGCAGACGCCGCTGGTCGTGGCCATGTCCTACTTCATTACCAGCCTGAGCTATGCCAACAGTTGCTTCAACCCGTTCCTTTATGCCTTTCTAGACGACAACTTCCGCAAGAGCCTCAACCAGCTGCTGGCGTGCCGGGCGGCCCCCTGAACCTCCCGGAGGCGGCCGGGGTCCCCGCTCCTCGATCCCGGCCACCTGCCCCCAGGTAAGAAGTTGGAACATGGTTCTCAGAGAGCGATCTACAGAGGCAGTCTTGCCATCCGGTTTAAATCCGCTAGATACGAATGTTCTTGGGACACACTCCAGACCACTGCGTCTGAAAGGCGGGAGCGGATTTGGGGAGCCCTGCTAGGAACGCAGACGCGCAGTGACTGTATGGAGCACAGCAGCTGCGAGCACCCATCGGCACTTTCTAAATCCCAGGGGCATGGATAGACTTGACTCCAGAGTTTAGCACCGTGGAAATTAAGGAGGAAGGTGTCTGTAACAATGTGAGAGGAAATTGCCATTACTGGCACATCCTTGGTTCCACGCCCACCTAAGGTCTGCATCCAGGGTTGTAGGGGGGCGCCCTCTGCCGGCTGAGCACTGTCCAGGCTGTGTGTGAGCATCTGCAGCTTGCCACTTCTGTGATTCAGCGGGACTTTTGCTCCTGCTTCTGCCTGGCCCTTCCTTTCCTCCACCTGGGTAACACTGCTGAAGCGGATCAAGACAGATTTGGTTCTGAGCCCCTCCCGTGGGAGGGCTGCAGAGGGCGTGGTGAGGGCTACAGGGGCCACACATCCTGAAAGGGGTGTACTCTCTTACCCCTGTCCCATGCCAGAAAATGTATCAGGACCCTCAAACTCGGAGAGAATCACGTTTGCCTGATTCTAGCAGGTGCACCTGGGTGAAGGATCCCAAATAGGCCGCTCTGAGCGGCCAGTAAGAACAAGCTTCCCGGGGCTGGGCAGTGGAGCACACCTCCGAACCTGCCACGGACGTCTTTGTGTTGCAGTTACAGCTTCTTTCTTTGTCCCCGTCGACCTCATATGAGACTCAAACCAGTTCGTGTTGTGTAAGTATTTGCCAGGATTGTAAACTCTGTAACTAATATGTGTATATGGCCCAGCCTTACAAAGTCTGTAATGAATGGATGACTTGCCCTCTCACCCCTGCCATCCTCTTTCCTCTCTCCCTTCCCCTTCTATTCCTCTGATGCCCTCATATTCCCTCTGCTGCCGTCCTTTCCACGTACTTTGCCCCAAAGGGTACCTGGTAGCATGGGCAAACTGATAGCTGTCTTCTGGCTCTGGCCTCCAGGGGCAGCCGACCAGCGCTGTAAC